AAAAGGGTCCTCAAACGCCAGAAACGACTGCAACGACTACAATGACTTCGCAACAAAAGTTACTTTTGTTCGAGTACGGTGACAACCTTACTTTGCAATCTGCCCTATTCCGTAGGTGCTTGATATGTTGTCCTCACGATGCTCCTATCGGCGTCGACGATTAGGAGCCATTCTGCAATAGTGCAATTGTCCTTGATCTAGCCTTAAACTCAAAGTTCGTCGTGTCTGGAGGGTGTTGTATTTCGAGACGTTCATTGTTGGAAATCTCTCGTATACCCCTCTTTGTAACCGAATGGGGGTCCTCGGACACAAAAAGTCACCCCAACGACTTTACAATAATGGTTTTTCCCTCAAGTGCTACTACAACCTTACTTAGCAATCCCACCCTTATCGTTGGCAGTTGGGATTTGTCCTGGGTGATCCTTGCTCCCTACAGTTAGGAGTCCTTCCAAAAAGGTGAGTTCCACCTTGATCGAGCTTGTGCTTGAAAGTAGGTCGTGTCTTGTCCATACTCCATTTCACATTCCTTGGGGATTAAAAACTCTCCTTTATGCTGTATTTTACAACCGGATGAGGGTTATCGGACACGAGAAGAAACGCAACGACTTTGCAATGATAGCCTTTCTTTCAAATGCGGCTACAACCTAAATTACAAATCATATGCGCTTGGGATCTCCTGTGTGATCCCCTCCGCCGACGATTAGGAATCCTTCCACAAATGTGGGTTCCACGCTGATCAAGTTTATCTTTAAAATTGAAGTATTTTGTGACCGTTTGCCTTTTGAAAACCCACCATATACTTATGTTTAAAACTTAAAAAGGGTCCTCAGACGCCAGAAACGACTGCAGTGACTTTGCAACAAAAGTTACTTTTGTTCGAGCACGGTGGCAACCTTACTTTGCAATTTGCCACCTTCCGTAGGTGCGTGATATGTTGTCCTCGTGATGCTCCTATCGGCGCCGACAATTAGGAGTCATTCTGCAATAGTGCAATCGTCCTTTATCTAGCCTTAAACTTAAAGCTCATCGTGTCTTGAGGGTGTTGTATTTTGAGATGTTCATTGTTGAAAATCTCTCGTATACCTCTTTTTGGAACCGAATGGGGGTCCTCGGACACGAAAAGTCACCTCGACGACTTTACAATAATAGTTTTTCCCTCAAGTGCTACCACAACCTTACTTAGCGATCTCGCCCTTATCGTTGGCGGTTGTGATTTGTCATGTGTGATCTTGTTCCCTACAGTTAGCAGTCATTCTACATAGGTGAGCTCCACCTTGATCGAGCTTGTGCCTGAAAGAAGGTTGTGTCTTGTCCGTACTCCACTTCGCATTCATTGGGGATTAAAAATTCCCTTTTATTCCCTTTTTTATAACCGGTTGGGGGTTATCGGATACGAGAAGCAACGCAATGACTTTGCAATACTAGCCTTTCTTTCAAATGTGGCTACAACCTAACTTACAAATAGTGTGCGCTTGGGATCTCCCGTGTGATCCCCTTCGCCTACGATAATGAATCCTTCCAAAAATGTGGGTTCCACGCCGATCGAGTTTATGCTTCAAACATGTTATTCGTAAAAATAAGACATTATACTGTGTGCTCTTTCTAACGAATTAATTTTTGGCTGCAGCCTAAGCAACGTAGACATGCCCATCCAGGGGTTAACCACATGCAGAAGCGTACTTGTGAAACTTCATAAATGAAATCCCAAATGCGGAAGTGTGTTGGGATCCTTACTTGTTGAACTTCAAAAACATGTTGGTGATCCTATGGGGAAGTGTGTTGGGATCCATACTAGTCAAACTTCATAAACGAACAACGATTGGCACGCCAAAGGGAACCCTGTGCGGAAGTGCGCCGCGATCCTTACTTGTCAAACTTCAATGTCATAAATGTAATGAAAGACACAGTAACTATATTATGACACTGACCTCTTTCTTACGAATTCATTTTTGACTGCAGTGTTTGTACATGGGCATGCCCGCCCAGTCGCCCCAATTGCGAAAGTTTGCTGACATTCATAGTTGTTGAACTTTTGTAAACAAAATTAGCAATGTAATTAGATTGAATTGGAGAGTATAATTCTTTTGGTTATCCCAAAGCTACACATGCAGGTTCATCGTCTTGTTGAAGACGGTTGTTTAGATGTATGATGAAATCCGGACTTGTTTTTAGAAAACGTGTGACCCTGGCAGATTGGAACAGGAGTGTGCCGAGATCCATACTTGTTTAACTCAAAGTTTACGTATGTGATGAGCAAGGTGTCATGATTGAACCGTTGTTGGTTTACACATTAAATTTTTGTTTACTACGTTATCCCTAAGTTTGAATCTCTTCAACATCCAAACAATCGTCTCGGGTGAGACGATGGGTGTGCTTGCATAAGTCCGAATCTCTTTAACATCCAAACAATTGTCTCGGGTGAGATGATGGGTGGGTTTGCATAAATTCCGCATATAGGCACGCTCATCATCTCGCCTGACGTGAGGGCACAGAGATCCATACTTGTTTACAGTTAAACGTATATTTCAATAACCACTTAATTTCGATATTCTATGTACAAATGTAGAACTTTAAATTATGCTCCATCACAATGAATATCCGCATTTTAAATGGTCATGCAAAGAAGGTTTGGGCATCCACTGACCAATTTCACATAAGATGAGATTTCTTATTAATCCACCAACCAGTTTCACAATCATGTTTACACTTCCAGTTGAACAAAATTCGAAACATGGAACACAATACTTCAACTAAAACAGAATTCGGAACATGAAATATTACATGATATAGATTACAAAGCCCATGCATGACGCAGGACATGCATTGAGCTTGCCGTAGATAACGCGAACTCGGAACGATATTTGGGCATCCACTGACCAATTTCACATAAGATGAGATTTCTCATTAATCCACCAACTAGTTTCACAATCATGTTTACATTTCTAGTTATACAAAATTCGAAACATGGAACACAATACTTCAACTATAACAGAATTCGGAACATGGAATATTACATGACATGGATTACAAAGTCCATGCATGACGCAGGACATGCATTGAGCTTGCCGTAGATAACGTGAACTCGGAACGATAAAAGAAAGCAATGCCTCTGGCAGAAGGACAGTTGAATAATGTCTCGATTTACGAAATTAAACGATCAACGAATGAAACACCTTAAAAAAAAGTTTCGAAGTCAATCAAATCCATCAAAGACAACGATGTTCTAAGACACATGATGTTAATTGTCGTCTAAGAAGCAGAATATCTTTACAAGAGAACCGGAAAGGCGGTCGATCTCCATGTTGCAACAACGTCGCATACATCAACATGAACACACCACAGCTTGCTCCATCCACTTGTCTCAGGACTCCATCCACCAAAACATTTCCCACTATGGACTTCTAATTCGTACTCGACTGCCTATGTGATGTTTGACGTTCGAAATACTGCACAATCAACCCGAAAACACTAAGGTAAAAACTAGAATCAGCTACAATGCGAGAAAAATAATCAAAAATTTTGAGAACATCATCTCTCATGTTGAGGGAAACGAGGATCCAGTGATCATCATCTTTGTGGACCGGAACAAAGATAATATCGTAATGAAGCAAATCTACATTTTTAGCCCACCTCTGCACCCCACCGTGTCTTTGAAGTCGCAGTTTACTGAGGAAGAACGAATTAAAGTTGAAGACTTGAAGGCCTGAAGAGATGTCACGTGACCCACATGCGGTCGACCCCAACAACGCCATATAGAAATTGACCACCTCATCATTCACCCTGCCGTCGACATGCAAGAAGGTGAGGAGATCTTTTGCTGTAATCCAAAATTGACCATCGCCCAATATAGAGAGAATAGTGTTAGACGGCACCGAGCCTCGCACAATGTCGTCCAACACCCGCAAGCTCAGAGGCGCAATCGTTGCAGCGAAACTTTTCCCGTGTGCTGCACTTGTTGCCCGCACTGCACAACATCGAGCAAAAGACACGTGGGGTAGTGAGAAACGGAGCTCTAGGCATTGTCCCTCGATGCATGACGCGTTGCTAAGTACTTCTCATACATAGCCTAACCACTACTCACAGATTGTGGTTATGTCCCTTTCTCTGGGGCAAGAAGGGAAAGACATTCCTCAATGGCAACGGTGTACTCCTTCTTCCTGATGTCGACATCAACCCCTGATACCTTTAATATGTCCTTGTGTTTTGTACTCAACCCGGGGACTTTCTGCAATATGTGCTCTGGATATTTGGAGGACCTCCATGTTCGAGACGACACCACCCCTGTACAACAGAAGAAAGACAAAACGGGAAATGAAAACCATACATTCGTACAGACGCAACAATCAAGCAGGACCTCTCTGACCACAGGACCCTGATCTCGCGTGGTCATGTGCACCCAGGGGCGGTTGTGCGACTGGAAAATAAAATGACCGCAACATCCGAGCTTATCACCCCCGCACTTCGCAAAGGAAAACCACCACAACTCACAGAAGCCGGAGGCCAGCAATCCCCGAAGTTCGGACTGTGGCAAACTTTTCAACACACCAGCCCCACAGAGACTGACCACATCACGCATCGACAAAGGAAGTTCGGATCCCGGCAAACTAAAACCGGCACCATTCCTGAGAAGGAAAAACTGTCAGTCCATCTACTTGGCCACTTTCTTAGCACCTTGGCCTACAGTCAAGCAGGACCTCTCCGACCACAGGACCCTGATCTCGCGTGGTCATGTGCACCCAGGTGCGGTTGTGCGACTGGAAAACAAAACGACTGCAACATTTGAGCTTATCACCCCCGCACTTCGCAAAGGAACACCACCACAACTCACAAAAGTCGGAGGCCAGCAATCCCCGAAGTTCAGACTGCGGCGGACTTTTCAACACACCAGCCCCAGTGAGACCGACCACATCACGCATCGACAAAGGAAGTTCGGATCCCAGCGGACTAAAAACCGGCACTATTCCCGATAAGGGAAAACTGTCAGTCCATATACTTGGCCACTTTCTTAGCACCTTGGTCACTTCCTCAGCTGGGGCAGATCCTTCCTTGGATGGAGTGTAACGTTTTGGACGAAGTTTTCGCCGCCCTCGACTAGCAACCCGGCCGAGTCACAGATAAGCTGACGAGCTGGAGTAGGAAGGGCTGCTGGTTGTAGCATGCCGGCATCCGGAACTTCCCGTATGTACAGGGACAGTGTGGACAGTCGTCGTGTGTATAGCGTGGACTGTAATCCGGCGACATCCGGATGCGCAGGCGGTCTTCACGGCTTACCAGTCAGTTTCTCTCTCCGCTCCTTCGATGGTGAATTTGGCGCAGGCAAAGCGAGCACGTCGAGAGCTTGACTGTCGAACCTCGATTTTTTTGGGGACGTCACATGCTGTCCTCCACCGCACTCGCCTTCCCCTTCGGCGGCAAGGGTGGCCGGCAACACCAGAAACTTCGGCGCGACGAAGCGAGGGTAGCTGCCACGGAAGATGCGACGTTGGCAGTTGCGGACGGACGGGCAAACACGTTGTGGTCGCTGAGGATACCGTCGATGACTTCGTCGATGCTTATACGTCGACTTTTTTCAGACGAGCTGATAGCGACGGAAGCCTCGTCGAACCGGTGCTGCAAGTCGACAGTAGACGTCAGTGGCCGGACCTCATACTCTTCAGGCTTTGCGGAAAGGCTGCTGACCACTTGTGTCTCCATCTCTATTGTCGTGGCATCATCGTCGACATCATCCTCGTGATGCTCTTCGTACAGTTGTCCAAACTCGTCAGATGACTCTCCATATCCGGCATCGTCCTCACTGTGTTCCACTTCGTCTTCTCCAGACCCGGCACCCTCCCTTCGTTCAAACAAATCGATTAGCTCCGTTTCTCCCGCTTCCTCCCCTTCCACCTCTTCTTCCCCTTCTTCCTCCCCTTCTTGCGCTCCCTTCTGTTCCTCCATTTTCTCCCCTACTTCCCTCCCACGAAACTCCTCCCCTTCCGCGGTACCCGTGCCGAATCTCGGGGACCGCCCTTCCGTCCCCGTGCACGCTGCCCCTCTCAACGGCACGACAATCCTTGACCGACAAACCCCGCCAGAAGAAGTTCGGATCTCGGCGGACTTCGTGGTCTCCGTGTCGCCGGACCCTGCACTTGCAGCCCCCCGCTGCAATCCTTGCGGCCGTCGCTCCCGCCCAGGCGACACCTTTCCGACGTCTCCGTCCCGCGCCGCAATGCTGCGAATTTCTCGATCCTTGCTTGGATCCCCCGACCTCGAGCAGCTTCCAATTCCGGACCGCTCTGGCGGCTTCTCAACCGACGTAGTTCGGATCCCGGCGGACTTCGGCTTTCCGACCGAGCGACTGCCCAGAGCAACCAAGGCTGCCAACGTGTCCCTCGCTGAACCCACGGACGAAGTCTGGGGGTCGGCGGAGTGTGTCGTATGCTCGGGCCGGGTGCCTGTCGACGGAGTCCGGTCGACGGCGAAACCCACCACCCCGGCGCTGCCTCCCGGTGTCGTGTTGCGGCCGTGAGACCCTCTCTCCCCCATAGGCGGGAGTCCTTTGCCACCCCCTGCGTTGCCACCCCCATCAGCTCCGCTTCCAGGTGACCCCCCCCCGAAACCATGGTCCGACCCACTGGGAGGGGGCACTTTCCAGTCCACCACGCCCTTCGACGGACTCGTGTCGAGCTCGTAGAAGTCCTCCGTCAATTCCAACCAGCACTTGTCCTGAAGCTCGTAGAACAGTTGACCGGCAGTGGAAATGAGGGACATGTCGCCGCGTGCTAAAGTGTTATTTTCGGTCGTCACTTTCTAGAGGACCGAAATCCTTGCGAGGCGCAGGAAGTTCGACTTCGACTCGCGTGGGAATGACACCCATCCCGCGCCCGGGATTGCCATGGCCATGACCCACTCGCGATTTCGTATCGCTGGCTGGATGACTCTCGGATGCCAAACCATGTCATGGCCCCAGTCCTGCTCAGGTGAATGACGTTACGGTTCAAGCAGGAAGTGGATGTTGTCATCCTTCCAAGACGGATGATCGGGCGGGACAACGGACCCGGGATGCAAAACGGGCGGGGGAGCTGCCAGAGCTCTAAGTCTCTCCAGCAACTTCATCGGCGTGGTGCCCGGCGCCGGTTTGGCGAATGGTAACACGAGGGCTGCAGCGCTTGGTGATGGACCGACCGACGAGGACCCTCGGCCGTGGTCCGTCGGAGGCGGGTCGTACTGCAGGTCGATGCTTTCCGTGTCGCTCTCCTCCTCCTTCGCGTTGGCGACAAACTCCACACCTATGGCTTCCTCGTTGTCAGTGGAGATCAGGGAAGCGTAAATGGCTAACTTCAACTGCTCCTCGGACTCTACGAAGTACAGCGACTGCAGCCTTTCGATAAATGTCTTCGCGTTCATGCGGGAGGCGAAGTGGTAGTTGTCGAGTAGTGCCAATATGTGGTCCTTCCCGCGGATGTACTCGGCGTCAGTGTCCCTCCTCGGACGCGTTTGAAGGAACAAGAAATCATAAATCTTGTTCCTCTTCCACTCGCTCAACTTGAACCACATATCCGTCTTGTTGCTCCACACCTTATCCTGTGTTGGCCTCACGACCATGCACTCACAATTGTGCCCATCCGAATTGACCTCGCTAATCACCACTTGCATCGTGAATTGCAAGAGGTCGGAGTTCCCTTCCATTGCGACAACGTGCCGGGCGGCCTTCAGAAGCTCCCAGATGCTTCGTGAGTGCGGTTTCTCAAGGAACACGACACCCTCTCCCTTCTTGCCAAGAAAATCAAGAAGACGGACGAATTGGGTCGGATTGCGTTCCATATCCCCGTAGACGCNTTTCTCAAGGAACACGACACCCTCTCCCTTCTTGCCAAGAAAATCAAGAAGACGGACGAATTGGGTCGGATTGCGTTCCATATCCCCGTAGACGCTGCCCTGTCGTTCAGGTGCCACCAGCGACCAGTCGCAAGGCGTGAAAGGAATCTCGGACACATCCGTCTGGGTGACCCTCTGAGGCAATCGCACCACAGCAGCGGCACACGTGGGCAGGTTTCCCTCGTAGACCACGAACATGTTGACGCGCAGATCGTCACCCTTGAAGAGAATGTACATGTGGTCTTCCTCCGTGTATAAATTGTTCCCAACGGGGAAGCTGTTTTTTTGCTACACTCTCCGCACCCACTTCCCTTCCAACAACTTGACGAAAGAAAGATAGTGCATGCCGGTGAGAAACGACAGGTTGTGCTGCCGCGGCACGAAAACAACGAGAGTCCAATGCGAGGGACACCACGTCTTAAGATAGGAATTCAAATTCTCCCACGCTTGGGGCTTCCACAGTTTGAGGTCAACCGGCTCGCAGAGATCGAGGACGAACGTGTGGCTCTTTGTGGAAGCCATTGCCTCCTTCAGCTCTGCGCCCCTGATGTCCGCCTCTAAAGGGTCGTTGGCGAACGGCGCGATGGATGTCACGTCCCCCGTGTCTTTCCATTTAATGTGAACGACGCCTTAAGCAAGTGCGAATTTCCGGCTCTTCAGTCTGCTTCCATTCAACACGGAGAGAACCTTGTTTCTCCAGTCGACGGACAACTTCTTGTGGCCCGCTAGCTTCTCCGTCACCTCAATCGAGTTGTCCTGGTCGCAACCCATGTACGGCGGGCAGTCCTTGAACAACGACGAGTCGGAAACGTGTTTCCTACTTTTATCCCACAACTCGTCATCCAATCCCTGACCTTCAAACTACTTGAACACGACAGACCTCAATTTCAGGAAACGGTACCTTTGGATCCAGTCCGCGTCCGGCCTTTTCTCGTTCTTGAATTGGTAGTAATTTCACAACCGGACCAGCACGAGGTCGCACTTCACGAGCTGCACCATGTCCTGCACGCTGAGCTTTCCCAACTTCGCCAACGACGGGGAGCCGGCCTGAACCCAAACGACCTCGCAAGCAAGCACCTTTTTCAAAACGCGACACTTCTAATTGTTCGTGAGTGATTCCATTGTTTTCCAACAATGCGCGTCCGGGTCTGACACTTGCACGAACCAATCGCCCTCCTCTTTTTCCTTTTTGCCTTTTTTATTCGGCAGGTCCACGGGGACGTTGTACACCACCTCCGTTCTGCCCAATTTGTCGTTGTGGATGTAGGCGACCCCAGGCTTTACGTTTTTGACCTTCTTCTTTTTGACGATCCAATTCGCCCCGTCGTGGCTCAGCAATCTGCCCGTCTCCCATTTTTCGAAAATTTCCACGGCCAGTTTCCAGACATTTTCCCCGGCCATCGCCAGAGGTAAGTAAGAACGCAGGGCAGCATTTTGCTTCTTAATAGCCTCCTCTTCCTTTTGATCCGCGAGAAGCCACAAGCTGTTTTGAGGCGCCTTATGGAGCGCCGTTGTACAAAACTTACGCCAATCCCAGACCTGATCTTGTTTCCCGCTAGGGTTCCACATCACAGCTCTTGGGCAGCCGTCATGCTTCCACTGCCATCGAATGTCTTTCATAGAAAGTTTCAACTATCTGGGAGGTGCCTTGAGGCCCTTCTTGTTGTCCTGTGAACTAACAAGAAAATACCCTTCGAAGTCATCGTCGGAAAAGTACACCATCCGTGTCGGCCACCGCTCGAAATTGTACTTCTTGGCCACCTCGCTGCCGAGCAGCGACCTGGCTGCAGCCGCGTTGTGCTGCCCGCACACCGCGTAGTAGTAGTATTCTCCCGCCAGCTCGTCCTTTCACTCCTCCGGCTTCAGACGTTGTGCCTTGGTCCCAGGAGTTGGTTTTTGAAGCCCCAGTGGTGCGAGCTTGAAGACCGGCAACTCGTACGTCTGTTCTTTATTTTCGAACGCAGACTGCATTGCTTCCCTTATCGTTTCCATGAGGATGGGATCTAGCGACCGCTGGTTGTAAAGATCCTCCCACTCCCTTATGTCGACGATCTGAGCCGGGCTGATCTCAAACTCCCGCCTTGTCCTGACGCCATCTTTGTACTCTAGGAAGTACCCGGCGTCCACGTCGATGGCAGGCCGTGGTGTAGAAGGTCCCGACTCAGGCTGTTTGTGTTTCGAAGCTGGACGTTTGCTACCCGGGTGGCCCTCTTCCACCCCCCTCCCCTTCCGTTTCTCTCCCGCAGTCCTCGGGGTCTTGGTCTTCTGTTTCTTCGAAGAGCCCACCAAGTCTTTTTGACATTCTCCCCTCCTTTTTTGGGGAGTGCCCTGCGCTCCCTCCCCTCCCACGGCCTCGCCTTCCGCGCCATGGCCCTCGGCAGGCTCCAAGTCAGACCCGCACAGGACTCCCTCTTCTCCGGGATCCGCCACGGTCTGTTGCCGGACCCAAGGTATGGACAGCACGGACCTGTCTCTTTCCCTCGACGGCGAAAATGGCGGACGCCGTATCGCCTCATCTTGCTGTCATCAAACTGACCTCTGGCATCCTCCCGCTGCACATGTGTAGCCTCCCCGGAACCCAGATCCCCCCCCTCCCCCGCTGCCCCGCTCGACTCACAACCGCCACACGGCTGCAAAGGCATTGACAGTTGCAGTCGGGGCCGACTTCGCAAGGGACGTCGAGGGCGATGTCCTTATCCTCCAATAAGTCAAAGAACTCTCGACCCTAAACAAACCCGCCCTGCTGCCGGAGGTCGTTGTAGAACGGGGTGTTAGCAGCACCCGCTCCGAACCCCTTGAACAAACACATGTCCAGAATCGCCCCCTGGGCACCGGCGAAGACGTTCCACTTCGCACCGTAGACATTTTTCATGTAGAACCGTCGACGACTACCTTTCGTATTCTCCCACCGCAAGGCAACCCCCAGTACCCTACACCGCTTGTTGGCTTCCACGAAGATCACAAGACCACACGGCTGTTGTGCTGGGTTTGATGCATCCCCACAGCACCAGTCGACGAACCATTTCGACCTAGCGTGGTCGGACCACGTCCTCGAGGTCGTAGACGACCGTTTTGTAGAATCTTTCCCAGATCCCATCTCGGAGGTCGCCGCAGGCTCCCCTTCGCCCCTGGACGAAGACATATTGTCTGCGGACGACAACGGAAAACAAATAAAACACCAGCGAGCGTCAAATCGCAGTCAAAGTACAACGCAAGCGAAAAACACATGAGGCACACCTTGCCCTCAACACGTCGGTCACATGACGCCATCCGAGGACCTTGAAGTTCGGATCCCCGCGAACTTCGAACGCGAAGACCAGCAATGACCTCTTACCTGCAACGAGATCATTCATGCAGCCGGGCGACAACCACGTCGATGTTTTCGGAACACGGATGTTGACCGGATCGGGAATGGATGGGAGGTGACGCACAAAGCCCGCGTTGGACGGGGCAGTGTCCTTTGCTTAGCAATAGGAACCCGGACAGTTCAGGACGCGAAGTTCGCCGAGATCCGTACTAAAAGTGCCTGTCCAAACCAAAACCAATGCACCTACCGAAACATGAAGTTCGCCGGGGTCCGAACTTTAGGACGATGCGACAGGCAGAGACGGCGTCAGAGACACACGGTCCGTGGACTGAACCACGACCCTGAAAGGCTGCACTAACACAAAAGGCCGGTTGAAAGGATAAGTTCGCCGAAATCGGAACTTCGTCTAATATGGGCAGCTTGGCATTGGATGAAGCCAAGTTCGAACGCAGCAGCCGCGACAACATTGTACGAGTCCCTAGAGGGGCAGTTGTGGATCACGGTCGACTCGTGTCGCAATCCACGGGAGATCATCAAGCCCAGCGCCCGTTCAATACACAGGCATCAGAGGAAGTTTGTCGGGATCCGAACTTCAGGAGGCTGCGAGAGAGACAGACAGAAAGTTGGGGTCCTAGCAAGGTGTCCTAGCAAGGTGTCAACAGGATTTCCAACAAGAGGGCCCGCCAACCGGGATCTCCAACGGGTTTTAGGAAACGCGAAGCTCGCACGACCTTGCGACGGGGATCTCTAAGAGTGTTTTTGGCATCTCGCAATGACAGTGACCGACTGTTTGGCACATGTTGATGGTGGATGGGCGAAAACCGGTTACGGGCAGATCCTTCCGCGGTTACGGGTCTTTCCCGTGGCCCGCCCGACGCCAATGACACCAAAGACAAATTAACAGAGAGGCCAGAACGCGAAGTTCGCCGAGATCCGAACTTCTCCGGGGCACGACATGGAAGGAGACGGCGTCAGAGACGGATGTCCAACATGACTTTCATCATGTCACTGAACTGAACGACGACTAGGGATTTGCACAACAAGCGTGCGGTGCAGCGTGTACCAGCAACCGCGGAGTCTCACACTTCTCTGCAGTCCTACAAATCCGACATTTCAGGTAGCACAACCGCATCTCTTCCCTCGCCGTTCTTTTCCCTCAAACAGAAGGACTTAAGAACGGTTCGGATGCGGCGACATTTGGGGATCCCCCGGGACGACGTCGTGAACCGAAGCCAAGCAAAGCATTTAGTGACGATCCGTATACGCGGGTCTGCGGTTCGTCGACCGATGCACTCTCCGAAAAAGCGGACATGTATTTCATCCTAACAAACACCCCCGGTCGTGCCAAGGAGTTTCCTATGCAGTCCCGTATGTCAGCCGCTTTCTCCTCAACCTCATGCCACAACAAATAGTTTCGAACCTGACCTGCTATCACCAAATCTGGCCACCCATCCACACGTTCAGGCCCACGCATCGGCACGAATTTGGACCCTTCAATCACAACCTCGTTGCGCGACACGAGCACAACTGCGTCGATGAGTTTCCTTCTCTTGTTCGAAGCAGCGACACACAGAACTCTGGCGAAATCAGTTCCGGACACAGTCAACCGCGCACAGCAGTACGACACAGCTCGTGGATAAATCCCGTGGCCACGAAGCGGGTACTGGTCCAGGAACGAGCAGCGACGAGCGCAGTTCACCAACTCTTGTTTCCGCGAGCCCCCCCAAGTTTGTGGCGATGACCTGACGTTGTGGCACTCGAGGCGACTGAAATAGCGGCTAATGCAGCTTAGTGCTTTGCGCATATGGTTCAGGAACTTATGTCTGAGGACGGCGTCAGGCAGTGGGATGAGGTCCCCGAACTCCAACATATTTGCGAACTTATATTGGCTTGCCCAAGGGCAGTGACTCTCCATATTGGCCCAATTGCCCTCGCCCCAGTCGTCAAGATGCGAGTCCATGCACGGGACGACGGTCATCCATGGGTCCTCGTCGAAGTCCTCTGCGGTCGCTCCGTGGATCGTTGTCACACCGTTGAAATGCCGCACGGATTTCACACAAGGACGAAAAGGTTTTGCTAAGCGAATGTGCCTCTCGACACTCATGGCCCGTGGTGTCGAGAAGGTCCCCTCCATCACGCAACCTGCACACCACGCGCACATGCCCGACGACACACACGGGCACGGAAACACTCGTAAACGCGTCATGTCTGGCGATGTGCGACCCATGACATTAGACGCAGCGTATGCCCCAAGATCCGATTTCGGGTGGCCGGCTTCGTCGGTGTTCACATCTACCGGCCCGCAGGCCAGCCGCAAACACGCCCCGTGACATGTTCGCCTGGATCCGAACTTGGCGAGACTGCACGGGAAAGACGACGTTGTCTCCCAAACTCAACGTCCCAAACTGCCACGAAGCTCGGATCCAAGCGGACTTCACTTTCATACGAATAAAAAGTTGTGGCAATCCATCGGTCACCTGGAAGTCCACAGTCAGAACCCGCACCACCCGAAAGGTGAAGTACGCCGGGGTCCGAACTCGACAGTTTTCCGACGAACCGTGCACGGGAAATTCGGATCTCAGAGGACTTCGCATTTTGTAGAATCCGAAGTCCGCCGTGATCCGAAATTGACGATTGTCCGAGGAACCGTGCACAGCAGGTTCGGATCCACGGCCCAGCAGGAACATCTCCTGCCACATGAATTGCGAAAGGAAAAGAGCTCACATTCGCCGGGATCTGAACTTGGCGAAATCGCGCGGGAGATACACAGCAGGTGAACCCGACGATGGGACGAGGAACCTTTCCACGAGAAGTACTGATCCCAGTGGACTTCGCATTTTTGCGAAACAAAAGTTGTGGCAAACACCCGTTCGCGAGAAAGGACACAGTCAGAACCCACACCATGCGTGACGCGAAGTTCTTCGGGGTCTGAACTTGGCACGCGAGGTCCGGATCCACGGGAGGGTTTGGGCATGGGTTTGGCGTGGGTTTAGTGCGGGAAACCGAACACGCGAGGTCCGGATCCACGGGAGGGCAGAGAGGAACCTGGTGTTCGCCGGGATCCGAACTTCTCGAGACTGCGTGGGAGAGAAACAACCGGCGGACTACACATTTTTTCAAATACAAAGTTGTGCCAAGCCCCGGGAGCTAGAAACCCCGCGTTCTGAACCCACACATTGAGACAAGTGAAGTCGCCGGGGTGCGAACTTGACGTCTGTGCGAGGAACCATGCAGTAGAAGTCCGGATCCCGACGGACTTCGCATTATCATGGATCCGAGGTTCGCCGAGGTCCGGACTCGACGACTGTGCAAGGAACAGTGCGAGCGAGGTTTGGATCCGCAGGCCAGCAGGAACCGGCGGACTTCTAATTTTCCACGTCCCTGGCTGTGGTTGAGCACTGGGGTTGAGAAGCGTGTTCGAACAGCTGCACAAGCTTGCCGGGATCCCAACTTCTTCCGGTGTTTGATTGCACGATCAGTTCGGTTGGAACGGCCACGTTTCGATCACGAGAACAGTGTCGGCGACGCGTGGGGCAGTGGGTGCTCCTCGTTTGCCGTTCAGTGACCGTCAAGTGTCGACGACCTTGCGTCCTCCAAAGTTCGACGTCCGACGAGGTTCGACGCCTGCCGAGGTTTGATGTGGAGCCAGGTTCCATCGGCGACATGGTTCGATGTTATACAAGGTTCGATGTGCAACAAGATTGTGGCGAAGTTGCCGGGGTGCGAACTTGACGTCTGTGCGAGGAACCGTGCAGTAGAAGTCCGGATCCCGGCGGACTTCGCATTATCACGGATCCGAGGTTCGCCGAGGTCCGGACTTGACGAGTGTGCAAGGAATAGTGCGAGCGAGGTTTGGATCCGCAGGCCATCAGGAACCTGAAGTTCGCCGGGATTTGAACTTGGCGAAATTATGTGGGAGATACACACCTGTCTGCCAAACTCGCCGTCCTGCAATTTCTTGAAGTTCGGATCCCTGCGGACTTCGAATTTTTCCACATCCCAGGCTGTGGTTGTGGACCGGGGTTGCGAAGCGTGTTCGAGCAGCTGCATGAAGTTCGCCAGGATCCGGACTTGGCGAAATTGCTTGGGAGATATACACCTGTCTGCCAAACTCGCCGTCCAGCAATTTCTTGAAGTTCGGATCCCGGTGGACTTCAAATTTTTACACGTCCCAGGCTGTGGTTGCGGACCGGGGTTGCGAAGTGTGTTTGAACAGTTGCATGAAGTTCGACGGGATCCGAACTTGGCGAAATTGCTGCCAAACTCGCCGTCCAACAAGTTCTTGAAGTTCGGATCCGGCGGACTTCTAGTTTTCCACGTCCCTCGCTGTGGTTGCGCACCGAGGTTGAGAAGCGTGTTCGAACAGCTGCACAAGCTCGCTGGGATCCCAACTTCTTCCGGTGTTTGATTGCGTGATCAGTTCGGTTGGAACGGCCATGTTCTGATCATGAGAACAGTGTCGGCGACGCGGGGGGTGGTGGGTGCTCAACGTTCGCCGTTCAGTGACTGTCAAGTGTCAACGACCCTGCGTCCTCCAAAGTTCGATGTCCGACGAGGTTCGACGCCCGCCGAGGTTTGATGTGGAGCCAGGTTCCATGGGCGGCATGGTTCGATGTTATACGAGGTTGGATGTGCAACAAGATTGTGACGAAGTGCTTTTTATTCGTTCGTAGATGGGGATCGACGTTTTTCCGATCGGTTGTGTGTCTCGTTCGCCGGTTTCGACCGTGCACATGATCATTTGCCTTGAGGATTCTCCGCGATCGTTCTCCACGATCAATGTGCACAGAACAGTCGATTGGTCATGAAATCTGCCAGGATCAACTAGTTGATCGGCTGCTCGGTTGGCGGTTGGTGTGGTGGTTGATCAACCAGCAGAGCAATCGCCAACAGAGCGGTCGACCAATCAGTTGATCCTGGCAGATTTCCTGACCGATCGACTGTTCGGTCGAGGACTCTCAGGTGGATAAATAAACAGGTCCCTCGCCGGCGGGTTGATCTTCGGTGCAGCACACACGATCAATCATCCGATCGCAAGTAATCTTCTGTCGTTTCGCGATTGGTCGGTTGGATGCGTTGTTGCATCGTGCATTGCTTAATAATCCGTCGGGCAGATCAGCAGCGATGTTGTTGGGGAAGCAAACAACATCTATCACCCGATCGCGAGTGATCGGCTTGTTTTTCGTGATGGGTCGGTTCATCATGTGTGTGGTGTACATATTTTCATGGATCTGATCGACCATCCGATCACGAGTGATCTGAACACACACGACAGAAAGAACAACACACACGCGGTGGTAATGTCGTCACGGCAGCCACGATCAATCATCCGATCGCGAGTGATCTCATCGTGTTTCACGATTGGTCGATGGATGCGTTCGTTGTGTCGACATTGCCACCACGTGTTTCGATTGATCATCCATTGGGCAGATCGGCGGACATGACATTGGGACAGCACACAAAACCAATCGGGTATGGCAAGTGCTCACGATGACGTTGTGTTTCGTTATTGGCCGCCACGTGTTTGATCCGAGCTTCCGAGCTTCGCCACTTGAGTACAGCATGAGCGCAATCGTTTTTTGATACTTTCCTCACACATCCACACACATGCGCTGTTCATTCCCGATTGCAGCAGAAGCGGAATCGAAGGGCAAACCATGATGTTCATCCCTGACCGCGCACGTTCGCGTGCATCTCCCCGCGAAAAATGTGTGCGAACACACACGCACACGAACACATATGCACCGACAGGCACACACACGCACACACACACACACACACACACACACACACACACACACACACACACACACACACACACATCGACACACGGCACCCACACACACACGCCCCT